GAAAGAGATGAGAGAGAGCCCTATAACTTGTTTAAACAAGAGGAAGTTGTGTTGTCGTGTAATTAAGTAAAAATACTAGGAAGTGAAATAATACCTCCAATGGAAATGGTAGAAAGCAGAACTGAAACACTTCTGCTGGGTAGGGTATGGTAGATCTCCGCACGCCACCACTCCCATTGCAACTTCTAGGGAAAAAGCTAAGATGAAAATGTCTTTTTTTTTTTTTTTTTTTTGAGACGGAGTCTTGCTCTGTTGCGCAGGCTGGAGTGCAGTGGCGCAATCTTAGTTCACTGTAACCGCCACCTCTCGGGTTCAAGTGATTCTCCTGCCTCAGCCTCCTGAGTATCTGGGATTACAGGCACACACCACTGCGCGTGGCTACTTTTTGTATTTAGTAGAGACGGGGTTTCACCATGTTGGTCAGGCTGGTCTCAAACTCCTGACCTCAAGTGACCCGCCTACCTCGGCCTCCCAAAGTGTTGGGATTACAGGCATGAGCCACCACGCCTGGCCGAAAATGTCTTATTTTTAAAAAGAATGAAGAGTGGTCACAGAAATAAAGAATGAATGGACTAAAATTTCAAGGAGGAAAGAGCCCTTCCGAGTTGAACTAGTGATAAGCAGCTATTTTCTTCCCTGAAACATTTGCCCATTTGGGACATGAGGATCAGACTTGGCCCAAGCAGAGAGACTCTACTGGGGAAGAGAGAAAGGAACAGTTTTTGGTGGTTGCAAGGACTTGCTATGGATTAGGACCTAGAGTAGCACAAAATGCAGAGCGTTTTCCCCATGGGACATTTGCTGAGTTCTGAGGCAGTGCAGGAGACTGAGAAGACAAGTCCTACAGTCTTGCAGTGTTTAGAGAGGAGGCCCAGAGTGAACAAATAGCTGGCCTCCCCAACATAAGGTATTTGCCAGGTTTTGCACCTGTGTGGGTTGGGAAGCTAAAGAGCTCCCTATAAATCTCTGAAGAGCAGAACTTTAAGATCTGAGAGAGACAGAGACTGACCAGTCTTTCAATCCAAAATCAAGAGGGTCATTCCTAAGGAACAAGGACAACCAGGAGGGGATTGAGTTTTACTGGAACTGCAACACTGCCCCAACCCAGTTTAGTACTTAATTGCATCGAGGTGACTAGCTCCTATAGGGAATAACAAGATTTGAAGCCCCTATCCTTTTATACCCAATATGTGACATACAATTAAAAATCATAAAGCATGCAAAAAATGGAGAAATATGGGGCTAATACACAAGAGAAAAAATAAACAATAAAACCAGACCCACAGACGATCCAGATATTGGAACTGGCAAAGATTTTTAAATAACTATGGTTAATATGTCAAATAGAGAAGAAGATGGACAAAAAGAAACAAATGTACAGAATGTCAACAGAATTGGAATCTATTAAAAGACAATGAAAAGAGCCTATTGAACTGAAAAATACCTCTGAAATTACAAACTCATTGGATGGATTTCATAAACATTGATAGAAGTAAAGGATAAAATCACAATCGCAGTTAGAAATTAGTCATATCAGAAAAAAGAATTAGTGAACTTGATAGGTTAATAGGAGGTACCTAAACTGAAGTACAGAGAGGAAAAAAGAGTGGAAGCTAAGAAACATGGGACCATATGAGTAATTCAAGTTACAGAAGAAGTGGAGAGAAAACTTAGGTCCAGAACAAGCAGAAAATGACACAAACATATATACAGCAATGAAAACAAAACAAAACACTAATATATGCACCAACATTGATGAATGTCAAAGACATGTGGCTGGGCACAGTGGCTCATGCCTATAACCCCAGCACTTTGGGAGGCCAAGGTGGGTAAATCACTTGATGCCAGGAGTTCGAGACCAGCCTGGCCAACATGGTGAAACCCTGTCTCTAAAAAAAATACAAAAATTAGATGGGTGTAGTGGCACATGCCTGTAATCCCAGCTACTCAGGAGGCCAAGGCATGAGAATCACTTGAACCCAGGAGGCAGAGGTTGCAGTAAGCTGAGATCATACCACTGCGCTCCAGCTTGGGTGACAGCAAGACTGTCTCAAAAAAAAAAAAAAAGACATACTGAGTAAAGAAGCCATACATGAAGGAGTACATACTTATTATTCTATTTTATGAAGTTCAAGAACAGGCAAAACTAAGTTACAGAGAAGTCAAAGCAGTGCTTATGTCTGGAGGGTACTAATGGAAAGGTGTGAGAAGATGTAGGGGAAAAGGTTCACCATGGTGCCCTTACAACCATGTACGTCTCTACATGGGCCACATAGGCAAAGCTGGACGACAGTCTGACAACCACTATGCTGTGCTTAGGGACTGCTTGACCACTTGACACAGGGGAACCTTTTGGGTAGATGGGAATGTCCTGCATTTTGATCTGGGTGGTGATTGTGCTTGTGTATGTATTTATCAAAACTCATCAAGCTGTACACTTAAGATTTGTGCCACCTAATGTAAACTGTACCTCAGTTTTTAAAAAAGAACCACCAGAGAACAAACAAGAATTCTTGAAAACTGAGATTATCAGGCCGGGCGCGGTGGCTCATGTCTGTAATCCCAGCACTTTGGGAGGCTGAAGTGGGCAGATCACCTGAGGTTGGGAGTTCGAGATGAGCCCAACCAACATGGAGAAACCCCATCCCTATTAAAAGTACAAAATTAGCTGGGCTTGGTGGCAGATGCCTATAATCCCAGCTACTTGGGAGGCTGAGGCAGGAGAATCGCTTGAACCCAGAGGCAGAGGTTGCGGTGAGCTGAGATCGTGCCATTGCACTCCAGCCTGGGCAACAAGAGCGAAACTCTGTCTCAAAAAAAAAAAGAAAATTAAGATTATCACCAAAATGAGGCTGAGTGCGGTGGCTCACACCTGTAATCCCAGTACTTTGGGAGGCCGAGGTGGGCAGATCACCTGAGGTCAGGAGTTCAAGACCAGCCTGGCCAACATGGTGAAACCCTGTCTCTACTAAAAATACAAAAATTAGCCGGGCATGGTGGTGTGCGCTTATAATCCCAGCTACTCAGGAGGCTGAGGCACGAGAATCACTTGAACCTTGGAGGCAGAGGCTGCAGTGAGCTGAGATCACGCCGCTGCTCTTCAGCCTAAGTGACACAGTGAGACTTTGTCTCAAAAAAAAAAAAAAAAAGAATTATCACCAAAATGGAAAATTCAATAGAAGGGCTGGAAAATAAATCTCCCCATGAAAAGACAAAGAGGATGATGAGCCCAGTCTAGGTCTAACACCCTAATAACAGGCATTCCAGTGAGTAAACAAACCTAGAAAGCTGTTCCTGATGGTGATAAAAGAAATGGCAGTCGAGTGCAGTGGCTCATCCCTGTAATCAGAGCACTTTGGGAAGCTGAGGCAGGAGGATCAAGGCCAGGAGTTCAAGGCTGCAGTGAACCATGATCACACCACTGCACTCCAGCCTGAGTGACAGACAAGAGCCTGTCCAAAAAAAAAAAAAAAAAAAGCTGGGCACTGTGGCTCATACCTGTAATCCTGGAACTTTGGAAGGCCAAAGTGGGAGGATCGCTTGAGTTCAGGAGCTGGAGACCAGCCTGGGCAACACAGTGAGACCCCCACTCTACAAAAAATCAAAAAAGTAGGGCCGGGCACGGTGACTCACACCTGTAATCCCAGCACTTTGGGAGGCCGAGGCAGGTGCATCACCTGAGGTCAGGAGTTCGAGACCAGCCTGGAGAACATGGTGAAACCCTGTCTCTACTAAAAACACAAAATTAGCCAGGTATGATGGTGTGTGCCTATAGTCCCAGCTATTTGGGAGGCTGAGGCAGGAGAATCGCTTGAACCTGCGAGGCGGAGGCTGCAGTGAGCCAAGATCGCACCATCGCACTCCAGCCTGGGCAACAAGAATGAAACTCCGTCTCAAAAAATAAAAATAAAAAAAATTTAAAAATCAAAAAATTAGCTGGGTGTAGTGGCACATGCTTGTAACTCTCAGCTACTCAGGACGTTGAAGTGGGAGGATGGCTTGAGTCCTGGAGGTCAAGGCTTCAGTGAGCTGAGATGGTGCCACTGCACTCCAGCCTGGCAAACAGTATCTTGTCTCAAAAAAAAAAAATAAAATAAATGGTCGTTAAATAAGAGATGGCATTCATCATTCTCAGCAAACTAACACAGGAACAGAAAACCAAACACCACATGTTCTCACTCATAAGTGGAAGTTAACAATGAGAACACATGGATGCAGAGAGGGGAACATCACACACTGGAGCCTGTCGGGGGTTGGGGGCAAGGTGAGGGAGAGCACCTAATGTATGTGGGGCTTAAAACCTAGATAATGGGTTGATGGGTGCAGCAAACCACCATGGCACATGTATACCTGTGTAACAAACCTGCATGTTCTGCACATGTATCCCAGAACTTAAAGGAAAATTTTTAAAAATGAGATGGCATTGTATATCTGATTAATCAACTAAAACATTGTTTAAGCAATATCCAACAGTTTGTTATTGATGGTGTAAACTGGTACAGTCTTTTGGGGGAGCAATAGTGTCATCAGTCATTTCTGTCCTTATCTTTTGCCCGGGTAACTTCATTGTTGCAAATTCATCATAAAATAACGTCTTAATCTGTTTGGGCTGTTAGGACAAAATACCATAAAGTAGGTAGTTTATTAACAACAGAAATTTATTTTCTCACAGTTCTGGAGGCTGGGAAGTCCATGATAAGGCACAAGCGGATTCATTCAGTGTCGGGTGAGGGCCTGCCTGTGGTGCACAGACAGTGTGCCTTCTAGCTGTGTTCTCATGTGGTGGAAGGAGCCGACTCTCGGGTCATTTCATACAGGCACTAATCCCATTCATGAGAGCTCTCCCTTCAAACTCTGTTCACCCCCAAAGGCCCACCTCCTAATACCATCATCACCTTGAGGGGTTAGATTTCAACATGAATTTGGGGGATCATATTCAGATCATAAGTTATATATAAGTTAAAAAGAAGAAAAATGTGGAATTCATGGAGATGTTCAGGGCAGTATGGATTACACTGAAAACCTGTCAACAACCTAGATGCCCAGTAGAAGGGAAACAACCAATAAAAGTCTGTGTCTCGTTGACGCGCTGGCAGGAAACATAGAGCAGGCAGGGAAAGGAAAGGGACTCGAGGAACGCGCTGTACCAACAGGAGGCAGCACCCCTTTGCCCGAGAGGCGCAACCACAGAAACCTAAGGCTACCTGGGCTGGAGCGGGGTGAGGCCGCGGAGAACGCACCCCTCTAGGCAGCTGCCGAGACGGAGGCTGGCGTTTCGACCACTGCCCGACAATGTGCTTACTCAGGTAGGATTCCGAAAAAATTCAGTCGCGCGTCCCTTCTGAGGTTTCGCAGCTCGCCAGGCCCGGCCCGGCCTGCTGCGGCTGCGCACTGCGGCCCAGCGGAGCGGGCCCGGGAAGCCGGAGCTCCTGTCAGCTCAGCCGGGCGCACGCAGGCCGGGGCGGGCGGCGCGGTTATCCCCGCCCCGCACGCTGCTCTGCCCAGCAGCCTCAGAGGCTGGCGGACCCGCGCGGGGCAGGCGCAGCGGAGCGCGCCGGCGGCGCGCGGAGCAGAGGGCTACGGGTGGGCGGGCACCCGCCTTCGCCTGCGTCGCTGCCTGCGCCGCTGCCTGCGCGCGGGCCGCAGCCCCCGGGCATGTGAGGACCGGCAGCTCGGCCGACGGGGCCCGGAGCGGCTCGGAGGCCGGGCGCTGACGGTAACGGGCCGGGTGCGCGCGGGGGAGGGCTCTGGCTGCCCCGACCGAGGCCGGGCTCGGGCTCCGGCGGCGGGAGCGCGATCGGCGCTGCGGCGTCAGAGGGGCCGGGAGGGGGCTGGAGGCGGCCTGAGGCCCGGACCGGGCTCCTGTCTCTGCGGTCCCCGGGGCCGACGGAGTCGGGGCGGGTGGGGAGGCAGCCGTGCCGGCGCGCGGGCGGCCAGAGACGCGGCGGCAGGTGCCTGTCCTCTGTGATCCAACTCTCTCCCCAGCTCCACCCACACTGGCCTGGACCCAGTCTCTAACGGCTAAAAATATTGCCCGAAGGCTCCCGAGCAGACTCAGATCGCGCTAAGTAGGGCACAACGCAGAGGCGACAGAGCTCCTCTGCCCCAGGGCCCGCGGAGCAGACTCCGGAGCGCCGTCCCGCCCACGCTCTGCTCGGCAGTTAGCGTCCTCCCTCCTCCTGAGCAGGCAAGCGGGGCCTGAGGGCGGTGGCGGCTGGGGGCACGGGTCCCCTGAAGTTGCCTCGCAACCGAGCACTGGACCCGGTCTCTCCCTTCCCAGGGGGCCTTCGGCGTCACTGTAGGCTTCCTAGGGGTCCCCTAAGTGCTCTGCAAACCGCGGCTGGAAGTTTCCCACTGCAGGAATCAGTATACGAACAGGGAGAACACATAGGGCTTGCTTTATGCTAGAAACACAAGAATCTTTCTTCTTTATTAGAAAGAAATGCATTCTGTGTTTCTGAGAAAGGATTTGTGCCAGGCACTGTTTCTGGTGAGTGCCAGTTTGACCCTAAAGGGCACTGAGAAAGACTTTCCTATTAGTCTCTTTGGGTTCTGGCTAAACTTTTAAATCAAACAAAATAGAAACCAGCTTATTCACCTGAAACTAGAAGCACATGGCCGAGGAGCCTGAACAGGCACCTCCTATCTAGGCAGGGAAGCTGTTGTAATCAGGAGCTTGTGTGGCACACTCCAGTCAGAGCTGGGTCTCTCATCCTGGGCCCATTTTTCACAGCACCAGCCAAAGGAGAACGTCCTCTCCACCCTAGGGGCAGAGCTGCTACCAGGACCAGGTGGGGCCAGCCCCAGATGTGCTACCTGTGCTCTGAGTCTCAGCAAGACAATAAAATCAAAGCTGGGTCAGGATCCCCAACTGGTGTTGGGTTTTGGCATTTCAAAGCTGGCTTTTTATTAGAGCCAGGCAAATGGGTGTTCCTTGGGAACAGCCCTTAGGAACTCACTGGGGCATTTGGTGGAAAGGTGCCATGGGGATTTTGCATGCTGGAGGTACAGATGGTGTCCTTCCTGCCAGGTGTATGTGGAGGCCAGTATGAAGCTGAAAAAGCAGGTGACAGTGTGTGGGGCTGCTATCTTCTGTGTGGCAGTCTTCTCGCTCTACCTTATGCTGGACCGAGTGCAGCATGATCCCACTCGACACCAGAATGGTGGGAACTTCCCCCGGGTGAGTCGTGCCTGGTTGCTAATTTCTTTGTATACAAGTCACCTGGGTTCAGGGTATTGCCCGCCCCCCTCCCCCCGCGGACACCCCCCACCACCCCACTGGAGGGTAATGTCAGTACAGGACAGGAGTAATAGTCAGGTTTTGTAGAAACCTCAGCTAAAAACAGTGATGGCGAAAAGAAGGAAGGAAGAAAAAAAATGTCAATGGCAATGAGTATTGTCGCTCTGTTCTCCTGAATTCTTTTCTTTTCTTTTCTTTTTGAGGCAGAGTCTTGCTCTGTCGCCCAGCCTTGAGTGTAGTGGTGCAATCTTGGCTCACTGCACCCTCCGCCTCCCTGGTTCAAGTGATTCTCCTGCCTCAGCCTCTGAGTAGCTGGGACTACAGGAGCCTGCCACCATGCCTGGCTAATTTTTGTATTTTTAGTAGAGATGAGGTTTCGCCATGTTGGCCAGGTTGGTCTTGAACTCCTGACCTCAGGTGATCCACCTGCCTCGGCCTCCCAAAGTGCTGGGATTACAGGTGTGAGCCACTGTGCCCAGCCCCTCTTGAATTCTTGGCAGACAATGCTAATTGATTGCAGCGTTCTTTGCCATTAAGCCCCACTGAAATCCTTCTCAGCACAGACAACACTGATTGTTGAGAACAGGTATGTGAAAGGAAATCTTTGCCATCCCTGGGCTAGACAGTGAAGGTTCTCCCAACCCAAGTGGAGTGTAGTCCTCAGTGGTGAGGTGCACAGCTCCCTTTGTCTGAATGGTATAATCTATCCCTGTAGGCTCATGGTCTGGCTTTAACTGATGAGGGAAGAATTGTAGTTATACCTCAGCTGGTGAACCCCAAGCAGAGACCCTCCCTGTGGCATAAGGAGCTGTGTGTGATTGCTTTTTGGTTTTTTGGCAGAGCCAAATTTCTGTGCTGCAGAACCGCATTGAGCAGCTGGAGCAGCTTTTGGAGGAGAACCATGAGATTATCAGCCATATCAAGGACTCCGTGCTGGAGCTGACAGCCAATGCAGAGGGCCCGCCCGCCATGCTGCCCTACTACACGGTCAATGGCTCCTGGGTGGTGCCACCAGAGCCCCGGCCCAGCTTCTTCTCCATCTCCCCCCAGGACTGCCAGTTTGCTTTGGGGGGCCGGGGCCAGAAGCCAGAGCTGCAGGTAAGAGTCAGAGCTGGCAGGGAGGTACAGCGGCCACAGTTGGGGCACTGAGCTGCAATTCACCTGGCAGATGCTCACTGTGTCGGAGGAGTTGCCGTTTGACAATGTGGATGGTGGCGTGTGGAGGCAAGGTTTCGACATCTCCTATGACCCGCACGACTGGGATGCTGAAGACCTGCAGGTGTTTGTGGTGCCCCACTCTCACAATGACCCAGGTGAGGGCCCCGCAGACTCCTGGGAGCTGGAGTGTGGAGTGGGATTTCTGATGGCCAGTGCAAGGGAGGGATGTCGAAGAAGATGGTGGGATGGTGGCATCCTCAGGGGATCTTACATTGGCTCCCTAGGCTGGATCAAGACCTTTGACAAGTACTACACAGAGCAGACCCAACACATCCTCAATAGCATGGTGTCTAAGCTGCAGGAGGACCCCCGGCGGCGCTTCCTCTGGGCAGAGGTCTCCTTCTTCGCCAAGTGGTGGGACAACATCAATGCCCAAAAGAGAGCGGCAGTCCGAAGGCCAGTGCCAGGCAGAGAGGCGTGGGAGGGCATCGTCTGAGCCCTAGGCTGGGTGGATGGGTCTTACCTTAAGCTGTGGGTGCCAAGGTGGCAGGGAGAGGCCCAGGGAGCTGTGGCAGAGATGAGTGATGGTGGAGGGAGGGAAGGCAAGAACAGATAGAGGTTCTGAGATAAGCGGGGCCAGAACAGCAGGGAGGTTGGCTGCAAGGAAAGGAGGGCAAGTGTATGTTCTCTTGGTCCTGGGCTTGGGAGAAGTGGTTCAGTGAAGCCAGTGCACACAGGCCCTGACAATTTCTTGTTGCCAGGACTGGGCAAAGCGTCCTGCTCTATCTTGAGTGTGAGTCCTTAACTATAGGCTGGTGGGAAACGGGCAGCTGGAGATTGCGACAGGAGGCTGGGTGATGCCGGATGAGGCCAACTCCCACTACTTTGCATTGATTGACCAGCTCATTGAAGGACACCAGTGGCTGGAGAGAAATCTTGGTGAGTCCAGGCCCAGGCATGGGGGTCTGCCCCCTGGACTGGGCCCATAGTGCTATGGCAGGGGGCTGTAAGGCACAGGGATCAGCAGGTGGTGGTTCCTTTCTAGACAGATCCTATCATGTGGGCCTGGTGTGATGTAATCTGTCCACTGACTACCAAGACAAGAGCTGGGGTCTCAGCACCTGGGAGGCTGAGAGACCAGGCCCTGAGGTATGTTCAGGGCCTCTCTGGCTTCCATGCCCTACCCAGGTGCAACCCCCCGCTCTGGCTGGGCAGTGGACCCCTTTGGATACAGCTCCACCATGCCTTACCTGCTGCGCCGTGCCAACCTCACCAGCATGCTGATTCAGAGAGTGCACTATGCCATCAAGAAGCACTTTGCTGCCACCCACAGCCTAGAGTTCATGTGGAGGCAGACATGGGGTAAGGCCAGGTAGGGTAGAGGGGGTCAACGCACCATAGTCTTCACTGGGGAAGAGCAGGGATATCAGAACTAAAACCCCCACTGTTCTTCAGAGCAGACCTGCAGGCACTGGTGTGGACTGCCAGAAATGGTCCCACCCTCTGGTTAGGGGAGGGTCACATTGACCTCTGGCCTCTACAGGGCCTGCTGTCCCAAGGGCTTCAGTGTGCCCTGTGTGCCCATCCCCTGAAGGAGCGCCTCATGTCTTTCCCCCGGCCTACACACACTCTCCGGCCCTAGGTCCAGTTACAGCCTCATGGTCTATCAAGGCTGCCTTTTGCCCAAGCAGATCCTTGCCCTCCTGACATCCAAAGGCTGCCTGCTGGTGTTGACCACGTGGTGTGTCTTCTGCAGACTCGGACTCCAGCACAGACATCTTCTGTCACATGATGCCCTTCTACAGCTATGACGTCCCCCATACCTGTGGCCCGGATCCCAAGATCTGCTGCCAATTTGATTTCAAACGCCTGCCTGGTGGGCGCATCAACTGCCCTTGGAAGGTGCCACCCCGGGCCATTACAGAGGCCAATGTGGCAGAGAGGTATCTGCTTCCAGCCCTTTCACTTCACAGAGGAATCAGGAGGCCTGGCTCTGGTCTGGGCCATGCCACATGGAGGGTGGGCTCAGATGGTGAGTTGAGGCTCACAGCATCTGCAGCAGCTCCTTGCTAAGTCTCCTGAAAAACTGGAATGGCTCTAGCAACCACCTTTCACAGAATGCTTTTATTTTCTCACGTGAGTACTTTTTGGTGCTCTAACAAACTGCCAGGGCAAGGTGACAGCTTAGAGGTGAATGATTCCCTTGTTAGGCATTGTAGCTTACAAACTTCAGGCTCTTGTGCCTTCACTTAGTGCCAGTGTTCTGACTTGGCTTTAAGTCAACCACGAGAATCCTGTTCAGATCCATATTCAGTCCCGCAAGATAGCCTCCAGCCTCTGAGAAAACAGACCTGTCCCCTTTGAGAAAATTTAGGGACCCCTAAAGATATCACTCTTGTTGAAATCAGGGCCCAGGCGAAAGTGTTGGTGAAGAGTTGATCCAAACGGCAATTTAGTCAGAACCTTAAGAATACAACAAGTTGGACTGGTTTTTATGTTGCAATGCTCTGATTTCTCCCTGATGTCCAAGAGTTGAAACACGTGACCAAAAGGGAAATAAAGTGGTCTTTTGTTTCCAGAAGTCTAAATGCTGATTCCAGGCAAGAGTCTAGGGCTATGAAGGCATGATGTTTCTTAAAGCGGCAGTTGTGATCAGTGAGGCTGGCCTAGGTTTGTAAGAACAGGCCCTGAAAGGTAATCATTTTCTCCTTTGAAAGGCTTACTAGACTGATAAGTTAGGGGAAAGTAGTATTTGAGGAATCCTCTCATGAGAACAAAGTAGAAAAGTACAAGCTGGGCCAGCGCCTCTAAGTAGATTAGTTGACTCTTTGGGTTGTGATATTTATAACATGCCAATTAAAGCAGGAAAGGGCTTCTGCTGATATGCCACAGGGCTGTTTTTCTACTGATTTTGCCAATAATTTGGATGAAAAGAAAATAAATGTTTATATATAGTTCCTATTATGTACCAGGCACTGTTCTAAGTGTTTAACAAATATTCATTCCATTCATTTAATTTTAATTTTTTTTTTTTTTTGAGACGGAGTTTCTGTCACCCGGGCTGGAGTGTGGTGGTGTGATTTCGGCTCACTGCAACCTCCACCTCCTGGGTTCAAGTGGTTCTCCTGCCTCAGCCTCCCAAGTAGCTGGGATTGCAGGTGTGTGCCACCACACCTGGCTGATTTTTGTATTTTTAGTAGATATGGGGTTTCACCATGTTGGCCAGGCTGGTCTTGAATTCCTGACCTCGGGTGATCCGCCTGCCTTGGTCGCCCAAAATGCTGGGATTACAGGCGTGAGCCACTGCGCTCAGCCCATTCAATCCATTTTAATTCTCATAACATTATATGGGTACCTACTGATGTTATCCCTATTTTGCCAGAAATGGAGGCTCAGAGAGGTTACTTGCCCACGGTCACTCAGCTAGTACTTGCGGAGGTGGTGTGATGTGGCTCCGGGATCCAGACGCTTAACTCTGGTGCTGCATCACTAACTTGTGGGCAAAATGAGGCGGGAGTGTCAGAACAAGGATCCCAAAAGATCTCAACAGCCTAAGCATAAAAAACAACATTCCAGCTGTCAGAACTGCCCAGAGAACACCGGATTTCCCTGGGGCTGGTATTCATGTGCAGGAGGTGTCCATCTGCGCTGAACCACTCCTTGATGGACGGGATGTCTTCCAGGGGCTTGCTGGCGGGATGGCTGTGCGTGGCGCTCTTTTACTGATGACACTTCATGTTGGGCCCATGTTTTTTTCCTGCCCCAGGGCAGCCCTGCTCCTGGACCAATACCGGAAGAAGTCCCGGCTGTTCCGAAGCAACGTCCTCCTCGTGCCTCTTGGAGATGACTTCCGATATGACAAGCCCCAGGAGTGGGATGCCCAGTTCTTGAACTACCAGCGGCTCTTTGACTTCTTCAACAGCAGGCCTAACCTCCATGTACAGGTGTGAGGGGAACTTGTCTGGGGAGGGGACCTCGCAGTGCTGCAGCCCACCCCTTCCTGTGAGACCGTGCCCTGGGTTCCCAACTCCAAAGCAGGGGTTCCTTCCCAACTCTTGGGCAAGGTGCCTCTTTTGTGTCAGAATTAATTCCCAGGCTCCCCCACTTCTGTTAAGTCCAGAATGGCAGGATGTACAGTTCCTGCTTCTGAGGCCAGAGCCCCTGCCTCACCCTTGACTGCAGCACTGTGGCCACAATTTCCAGGAGGCTCTGGAACTGATGGGAGTGGGTTTTTGGGGTTCCCACAGGCCCAGTTTGGCACTCTTTCTGACTATTTTGATGCCCTGTACAAGAGGACAGGGGTGGAGCCAGGGGCCCGGCCTCCAGGGTTTCCTGTGCTGAGCGGGGATTTCTTCTCCTATGCGGACCGGGAGGATCATTACTGGACAGGCTATTACACTTCCCGGCCCTTCTACAAGAGCTTAGACCGAGTCCTGGAAGCCCACCTGCGGTGAGACCCTGTCCCCACTTCCAGGCTGGAGGGGGAGAGTCAGCCTGTGGGATTTAAGGAGGGGCTGGATCGGCTCAGAAGGGAATAGCTAGGCCCAGAGGCCAGGGCAGGTAGAGAAGGGGTGGGAAGGAAGGAGGCTGGACTGGCAGAGCGTGGGTGGGCCCTGGGGAGTGGTGTAGGCTGGCAGCTAACTTCTCTCTCTGGGCAGGGGGGCAGAGGTTCTGTATAGCCTGGCTGCAGCTCACGCCCGCCACTCTGGCCTGGCTGGCCGGTACCCGCTGTCTGACTTCACCCTCCTGACGGAAGCTCGGCGCACATTGGGGCTCTTCCAGCATCACGACGCCATCACTGGCACCGCCAAGGAGGCCGTGGTGGTGGACTATGGGGTCAGGTGGGAGCCTTCTCTTCTCCCTTGTCAGGTCCCCCGCTCGCTGTCCCAAAGAAGGGATGTTGGGTGGTCAGGGGATAGGTCGGCCTAGGGCTTGTCCTGCTGACAAAGCAGACGGCTTCCCTATGATCATCTCTCCTTCCCTCTCCTGCACCACCCACAGGCTTCTGCGCTCCCTTGTCAACCTGAAGCAGGTCATCATTCATGCAGCTCACTATCTGGTGCTGGGGGACAAGGAGACCTACCACTTTGACCCTGAGGCGCCCTTCCTCCAAGTGGTGAGCCCCTCCTGGGTCTGCATGGGGACCCTCCGGTGTGTGCAGGTGGCATCCCAAGAGCTACTGGATGAGGGTGCCACTCCTCTTTTTCCTTCCCCATCTGAGTTCTGTGCCCAGTGCAGCTGCTGGTCCGCACCCGGGGAAGGCAGGGTGGGAGGAGGCTGAGCCCATGATGGTTCTTCCCTTCTGGCCCACTGAATTCCAGGATGACACTCGCTTAAGTCACGACGCCCTGCCAGAGCGCACGGTGATCCAGCTGGATTCCTCGCCCAGGTAAGCTGGACTACACCAGGTGCAGAGAGGCAGAGCCATTCCCTGGCTTTCAGGCCCCTCTACCCCAGTGTGTGCTGAACCACTGCAGGGTGCTTGCCCTGACCGGAAGTAGTGGCCTCCTGGGTCAGCCCACCTTCTATGCACAGGTTTGTGGTGCTATTCAACCCGCTGGAACAGGAGCGGTTCAGCATGGTATCCCTGCTGGTCAACTCGCCCCGTGTGCGCGTCCTTTCGGAGGAGGGTCAGCCCCTGGCCGTGCAGATCAGCGCACACTGGAGCTCTGCCACCGAGGTGGTCCCTGATGTCTACCAGGTGAGGTGCGGGCTCGTCAGGTGAGCCTGGCCCTCTGCCCATCATGGGCCCCTCCCCGCCTGGCGACGCCAGCTTCCCACCCTCCTGCTTGTGGCCCTGCTTACTCCCCAGGCTGAGGACAGGTGTGCTGGGAAGGGGGTTGTCCAGCAGACAGGTACTCTTGGGATTTGAGTCTGTCCTTGAAAAGAAGGGGAAGGTTGGTATGGTAATAGTAATGGTAAAAATAGCAGTTATAATGCCCCATCATTCAGTCAGTCGATGTATATCGAAAGCTTAATGTGTGGTTACCACTTCACACTTTTTCAAATATCACTTGAGAATCATAACGTCTGAAGAGGAAGAAAGGGCAAATTGGCCGGGCGCGGTGGCTCAAGCCTGTAATCCCAGCACTTTGGGAGGCCGAGACGGGTGGATCACGAGGTCAGGAGATCAAGACCATCCTGGCTAACACGGTGAAACCCTGTCTCTACTAAAAAATACAAAAAAACTAGCTGGGCGAGGTGGCGGGCGCCTGTAGTCCCAGCTACTCGGGAGGCTGAGGCAGGAGAATGGCGTGAACCCGGGAGGCGGAGCTTGCAGTGAGCTGAGATCCGGCCACTGCACTCCAGCCTGGGCGACAGAGCGAGACTCCGTCTCAAAAAAAAAAAAAAAAAAAAAAGAAAGGGCAAATCATATCACCTCCACTTTGGAGGCGGGGCAGAGGCCCCAGTGGGTACAGGGACTTGCTCACGCCCTCTGTTAGTAAGCAAATGCCCCAGCACCCCTGTGGCGAATGCCATGCCCCCACTTCCTCACCCCTCCTGTGCCCACAGGTGTCTGTGCCTGTCCGCCTGCCAGCCCTGGGCCTGGGCGTGCTGCAGCTACAGCTGGGCCTGGATGGGCACCGCACGCTGCCCTCCTCTGTGCGTGTCTACCTGCACGGCCGGCAGCTGTCTGTCAGCAGGCACGAAGCGTTCCCTCTCCGCGTCATTGACTCTGGCAGCAGTGACTTCGCCCTCAGCAACCGCTACATGCAGGTCTGGTTCTCAGGCCTTACTGGGCTCCTCAAGGTAAAAGGCCAGGGTGGTGGGGAAGGGCCAGGGGCCAGAGCAGGGCGTGTGTGGTGGTAGCACTGTGCAGAGTGGCCTCCCGGCCCCTTGAGCATTCTGCCACCTGACCCACAGTGGACCCAGGCCTGGGACATCTCAGCTCCAGCCTGACAGCATGGGGAAGCTGGGCGTGGCTCCTTGGGGAAGCTAGTCCATGTCCTCCCAGGAGGCAGGCCTGACATGCTGGTGTGGGGCCAGGGGTCAGGGCTGTGTTTTTTGGCAGAGCATCCGAAGGGTGGATGAGGAGCAGGAGCAGCAGGTGGACATGGAATTCCTAGTCTATGGCACCCGTACGTCCAAAGACAAGAGTGGAGCCTACCTCTTCCTGCCCGATGGCGAGGCCAAGGTACGCTAAATATGCCTTGAACAACCTGGCAGGCCCTGGGAGGTCTCACCAGCAGGGAGGGCAGGAGGGGGCACAGGCCTTCCCACAGGTTTATTGCTGCCTGCCAGGGGCCTTGTCTTTCCTGTTCAGCCCAGGAATATCTAGGAATAGGTGCTCTCTTGCCCAGCCCTGGGCTGGCACCTCCCTGCTTTGCCCTCTGTGCCATAGTTTCAATAGCAGTCTGCTCTTTCCCCAGCCCTATGTCCCCAAGGAGCCCCCTGTGCTGCATGTCACTGAAGGCCCTTTCTTCTCAGAGGTGGTTGCATACTACGAGCATGTTCACCAGGTGGTCCGGCTTTACAATCTGCCAGGTGAGCCCCGCCCATGAGGAATTATCTGGAAGGAGGTGTGGGTTCTACAGCTGTGGCGTGTTCTTCCTTCTGCTGCTTCTCTGTTCATACCTCTGTTCCATATCATTTGAGACAGGGATGCTCCATTCTCTTGGAGAAAAAGTCATCCAGAAATGCCCTGGGAATTTCTTGGGAGGGTGGACAGAGCCTCTCCCCAGCTCGGCTCTGATCCCCCAACCCAGCCTCTTAGCTGTGGTTCAGCCTCACACCTCTCCATGCCACCACTTTGTTCCTGTGCCCAGGGGTGGAGGGGCTGTCTCTGGACATATCATCCCTGGTGGACATCCGGGACTACGTCAACAAGGAGCTGGCCCTGCGCATCCATACAGACATCGACAGCCAGGGTATCTTCTTCACAGACCTCAATGGCTTTCAGGTGACTCCTGGGCCTGGGTCTCGGAGACCCCACACAGTAGAACTTGGACTGTGCTTTTGACCGTATCACAGGCCCTGGGGGATGATCTGTCCTGATGGAGAAAGAGGAATGAAGAGGCGAGAGTGATCAGGGACTCCTTCCATCTGGGGTCTGCTTGGGGCCCACCTGGTGCCCTTGATCTGCTGACCTTGCCCCCACAGGTGCAGCCCCGACGGTATCTGAAGAAGCTCCCCCTCCAGGCCAACTTCTATCCCATGCCAGTCATGGCCTATATCCAGGACGCACATAAGCGCCTCACACTGCACACTGCCCAGGCCCTGGGTGTCTCTAGCCTCAAAGATGGTGAGTAGGGCCCAGAGCTCTGCAGAAGGTATCAGACAAAAAGAAGCCCGTCCCCACCCTCAAGGGCTCCCCTCTCTGTTTACCTCCCTTGCCTCTTTCTGGTCTGCATCACCTCCATGCTTGGAGAGGGGGTGAGCCATTCAGAGCTCTTGGCACATGAGGCAGGCACCTGCTGTCCCCCTGTCCCCTGGTGGAGGCAGCAGTATAGGCAACTGGGTCCCCTGAAGAACTATCAGGGTTACGACTCTTGGGGCCAAAAAAAGAAAAAAAAATGTCAAAAAGCAAAGCTAGGCACAGTGGTTCACTCCTGTAATCCCAGCGCTTTGGGAGGCCAAGGCAGAAGGCCAGGAGTTTGAGACCAGCCTGGGCAGCAAAGCGAGACCCAGGCTCTACAAAAAAAAATTTTTAATTAGCTGGATGTGGTAGCACGTGCCTATCGTCCCAGCTACTCAGGAGACTTGAGATGAGAGGATTGCTTGAGCCTGGGAGTTGGAGGCTGCAGTGAGCCAAGATTGTGCCACTGCACTGTAGCCTGGTGACAGAGAAAGACCCAGTCTGAGAAAAAAAGGCAAGAAGCATCAGGATATTGAACAGTGATTCTCAGCTGAGGTGTATAACCCTCTTCTGGGCAGGGATGAGAGTAGGGACAGCTTGTAAAGTGCACTCAGTGTTATGAAATATTAAGGAAATGAGAGAAATAGATACTGTTTTCCTACTAGTGATCATTAAAAGAGAGACTGACATTTTTTTTTTTTTGAGATGGAGTTTTACTCTTTCACCCAGGCTGGGGTGCAGTGGTGCGATCTCCGCTCACTGCAACCTCCACCTTCCGGTTTGAAGCGATTCTCCTGCCTCAGCCTGCTGAGTAGCTGAGATTACAGGCGCCCACCACCATGCCCAGCTAATTTTTGTATTTTTAGTAGAGATGGGGTTTCACCATGCTGGCCAGGCTGGTCTTGAACTCCTGACCTTGTGATCTGCCTGCCTCAGTCTCCCAAAGTGCTGGGATTACAGGTGTGAGCCACCGTGCCCGGCCAAGACTGATGTTCTTAAGAATCAAAATGGGCATTGGGAGCACTGGCCTGGAGTCAGACCCGGGCAGCTGGTCATGTTGGCAATCTCTGTGTGGCCCCCATATCCTCAGAGCAAAATGAACAGTTTGCACTTAGTGGCGTCTGAGGCCCTTGAGATCTATCTCTGGGAAGAGCCCTTGCGAAGGGCTGAGTCGAGAGCACCCAGTCAAGGCTAGGCATGGTCTGATGGCTGGTGAGTGCAGGCGCCTGACTCCCTGCTCGGAGGAGTGTGCCTTTCTCTGCCAGTAACAGCCCCTGGTCCATCTATGTCATGACTCCTAACAGCAGCCCAATATCCCTGACTGGATTTTCTCCTCTACCCCTCTGGGATGTGGTGTGTGAAAAAATGACTGTCTTCTATACAAGGGATCCATTTTAGGATTTTCAGACATCTTTCTGTGATTGTTCTGGGTAAAAAGACTGAGCAACTACGCAAGTCAGTAAGGACTGGAGAGGTGAAAGGGAGAATAGGGCCATATGTCCCTGTGGAATGTAGGGCAGCTGGTGTGGTTTCCCTCGAGATCTTGTATAAGAACAGCTGCACCCACCTCCAACACCTGCACACACGGGGGCCTCTGTCCCCAACACATCAGCCATGCACTGAGCCCCTGCTCCAAGCATACTCTAGAAAAGAAAGCAAAAGTGGTCACGTGCCATCTCTTTTTCCTGGGGCAACCCCAGATGACACTTAATATGAACCTCTGCCTGACTTGCCATCTGGCTGTCCTTTCCATAGCCCTACTTTTAACACACAGGCAGTCAGAGTTTGAATCTGGCCTGCTGGGGCTGTCTGGCTGTCCAGTGTAGAGCAAGGGCAGGAGAGCCTGTGTTTTAGTCACAACAAAACCTGCCCAACCTGAGCAAACCTGCCCCAGATTACGGAGGTATGCAGCAACACGATCAGTGGCTGTTGATCAAAGTTTTTTGTTTCTGGTTTATTTCGTTGTATGTAACCCATCCTGATTCAGTTTCCTGCCTGGGCCCCTAGGCCTGGTCCCTACTCCTGAATCCCAGAGCTTTGGGGGTAAACTGCCAGGGCCAACCTGCCCCTTTCTGGGCCTCATGCTTTCTCATCTGCAAAATAAGGCTGCACAGGACCAGCCCCTCATCAGGTTCCCTCCCAGCTGTGGGAACCCGTGACCTCTCCTGAGTGATTCAGCTTCTGTCTCTCGAGCTGGGCTTTTCCCTCAGGGTCTGTGGCTGGGATTCTCCTTCTAAAGGTCAGTGTCTGCTTGGGGGTGGGGGCAGGCCAGCACTCACTGTTTGCTTCCCCAGGCCAGCTGGAGGTGATCTTGGACCGGCGGCTAATGCAGGATGACAACAGGGGCCTAGGCCAAGGGCTCAAGGACAACAAGAGAACCTGCAACCGTTTCCGCCTCCTGCTAGAGCGGCGAACCGTGGGCAGCGAGGTAACACCTGGGGCTGACACACAGGGAGCCAGGTCTAGCTAGTCCCTGGGGGTGGCCTGAGGGGTCCAGCCTAGCGCTCGAGGAAGGTAGCTAGAGGTGGACAAGGGAGAGAGAGTAGGGCTGAATTCCTGGGGTTGGGGGAGGCAGTCTGGCGTTTTGTGTCCCATCTCACGCAGCCTGGCACCTTCCTTTCCCAGCAGCGCCCTGTCGCCTGTGCCCCTCATGTTCATCTCCCACCTTCCTCTGTGCTGCCCTCCTCTGCCCTATCCCAGCATTCTTTAAGCCTGTGCTCCAACCCGCTCATCTCATGGCTTTCTTTGCCCCACCAGCCTGACTTTTTCTCCAAACTGGCAGCCATGTTTAGGGGCTTGATCTTTCACAGCAGCAGGAGCGGTAACCGAGAGGTAAGGGGTCGGCTCTGGGAGCGGGGAACTAGTACGAGCAAGGCATAGCTGCGCCGGAGCCCAGGTGACAGAGCCCGCCGCTCAGTCACTCGTGCATCAGATAGATATTGAGCACCTGGTTTACTGTGAGGACCCAGAGGGACATAAGTGCAGACAGTGCTGACTCTCCCAGGAGTTTACTCGTGAGTAGGGGTGGCAGAGAAGCCATGTGTATAAAAATGCAAGGTAGAAAAGGGCTCTGTCTCACTGATCCCGAGGAGCAAGGTAATAATGTGGGCTAAGGAGATTGAGGTCGAGGAGGTGTCACCCAGGTGTGGCTTTGATGAATAGGGGTGTGATTTGAAGATGTGAACCAGGGCACAGGGTAGGAGGCAGGAAAGACAGCAGGCTGGGGAACAGCAGTGAGTTCCTTAGTTACACTGGAACTACACTGTCCAGTACGGTGGCCAGTAGCCCTATGTGGCTATTTAAATACTACTAAATCAAGTAAAAAATTTGCTTTCTTATTCCACTGGCCACACTTCAAGTACTCAGTGGCCACAAGTGGCTAAGTGGCTGCTGTATTAGACCATGTGGTGTCACATATTTCCATCCCTGCAGAATGCCCTCTTGGCTGGTGCTGGGCTACAGTGCTGGGGGGAGATCAGGGCAGATGGCAGAGCACCTTGAGTGCCTGCTAAGAGGTCGGGACCTTATCCTGGAGGCTAAGGAAGGAGCTGAGCAAGGAGGGACACCATCAGAACTCTGCTCTCAGCATGTCACGCTGACAGTAGGGAGCAGGTTGGACCTGTGGGAAAGGAGACTGGAGGAAGGTGACAGTGGGAGGCTGTTCAGGCAGGACATGCTGGCTGCTTGAACTAGGCCAGAGGCTGGAGAAGTTGCAGGTGGCTATGAGGACACTGCCGAGGTGAGACGGAAGAGGGTTTAGCATTACCTGGGAATGCAGAGGGAAGTGAGAGATGCTGGGCGCTTGGAAGGAGAGGGATGCCAGGGACAGAAGTCCAGAATATTCAGCCCAGTGAGTCTGACGTCCAGGTGAGCTGCTAAGGAGTAGCCCTGCTGGCAGAGCCCCGGCAGCGCTGGGCCTGAGAGCCCGGCTGGCACTGTGGATGTGGTGTCACGCATGAAGCCACAGAATTACCCGGAGCACTCTGGATTGGAGGCCCGTGCTCCATGGTGAGGCCTGTGTCTGCCTGTCTGCCATCCTCCCTGCACTGTGGATCTGTGTGTGAGGGGAGATATGGCTGATGGGAGTGGGTTGCTCATGATAGTGTTATGTGAACAAGAAACTAAAACGTGGAAAAGAAACGGCATAGTGAAATAGCCCTCCGAGTTGGGTGAGATGGCAAATGTCCACACTTGAAGGGTTAGGGGAACCTCGCCTGGAGCCAGGCACACCCTTGAGTCCAGGCACACCAGGAAAGCTCTTTCCAAAGGAACTGACCTGGGTGTGCTTTTATCCTGCCTCATCCTCTCCCCTCAGCCTGGCTTCAGTCCCTCACCAATATCTCGGGTCCATCTTGCAGGTCCAAGATAGCCACTCTACCAGCTACCCATCCCTCCTCAGCCACCTGACCTCCATGTACCTGAACACCCCGGCGCTCGCTCTGCCTGTAGCCAGGACGCAGCTCCCAGGCCCTGGTCTGCGCTCATTTCATCCTCTGGCTTCCTCACTGCCTTGTGACTTCCACCTGCTCAACCTACGTACGCTGCAGGCTGAGGTGAGTGTCCCTCAGTGTGACACGCTGAGAACAGAGTTCTGATGATGTCCTTGCCTGCTCAGCTCCTTCCTTAGCCTCCAGGATAAAGTCCAGACCCCTTAGCAGGTACTCGGCTCTGAACCTCCAGGACCAGGTTCTGGTCTTTTCTTACCCACATGCCTCCCTGTGCCAGCACTGCCTTTGGGCAGAGGTGCTGCTGTATCTCCAATCTCTGAAAGCCCTGCACCCACTTCCTTGGGCACTATCTGTCATCCAGGAGGACACCCTGCCCTCAGCGGAGATGGCACTCATCTTACACCGCAAGGGTTTTGACTGCGGCCTGGAGGCCAAGAACTTGGGCTTCAATTGCACCACAAGCCAAGGCAAGGTGAGTAGGGTGGGCAAGCAGAACACCTGGGAATGGTAGGCGTGAGCTTGGTAAGACTGGGCTGAGATTCGGTGACAGGCTGGGAGAAGAAAGTGTCACTCCAGGGCTTTCTGGAGAGAAGCGGGGAAGCTGTGGACATGTTTTCAGAGCTCCCGAGGCCTAGCAGGGGAAGTTCCAGACAAGGCAGATCGCTTGAGAACTGTTGTTCCCTGAGCAGGGACCTCTGTCAGGCAAAGTAGAAAACACCAGAAATAGAAAACCAGAACCCATCCTGTTAGTTACTTTGTAAGCTCATATCAGCCGGCACTGATAAATGTCCCCGGGCACCAGGTTCTCTGCTGGGCTCCAGTGTTTCAGAAGTGAACCAAGACATGGTCACTGTTCTCACAGAGCTCACAGCTCAGTGGAACGATTCTTACCGGGAGATCTGTAGGCAGGCTTTAGGGTTGAGCAAATCTCAGCAAGCCCATGATACTGGATGCACACTCATGTGTAAGAAGCCGTGGTGTTGCTGAGAGGGGCCAGCTGGAACTGGAGTGCAGTGGCATGATCTCAGCTCACTGCAACCCCCACCTCCCGGTTCAAGGGATCTTCTGCCTCAGCCTCCTGAGTAGCTGGGATTACAGGCGCCTGCCACCACGCCCAGCTAATTTTTGTATTGTTAGTAGAGACTGGGTTTTACCATGTTGGCCAGGCTGCTCTCGAACTCCTGACCTCAGGTGATCCACCTGCCTCTGCCTCCCAAAGTGCTGGGATTATAGGTGTGAGCCACCGCTCCTGGCTGAGATTCTTAAAGAGTTAACAAATTGTAGATGAACAGCTGCATTCTTTAGTGTCTCGGCACCCAGCACAACCCTGCACCTTCTCTCCTCTCCACAGGTAGCCCTGGGGAGCCTTTTCCATGGCCTGGACGTGGTATTCCTTCAGCCAACCTCCTTGACATTGCTGTACCCTCTGGCCTCCCCATCCAACAGCACTGACGTCTATTTGGAGCCCATGGAGATTGCTACCTTTCGCCTCCGCTTGGGTTAGGGCTTCTTGTGGCCTGAAGAGAAAGTTCATTTACAGAGATGGCCTCTTAACATGAAGATCGTTGGACAGGCCACATGGGTATCCCATCCCGATCTGCCTCCCAGAACTGTGACACACTGGGCTCTGCCCTCATTTTCTGTTTATTGCTGCTGCTGTGTTTTGGGGGCAACCCACAAACCCAGTGATGGGTAAATAGGGCAGATGTCAGTGAGATCAGGGAGAGAAGGCCCTTGGTCAGAGTGGGCAGTGCCAGGCTCTGCTTCAGGTTGTGCGTGGACACCCAACTGGGCACAGGGTCAGGCACCCATCCTTTTTCCAAAAGGGGATATAGGAGAAGTGGAAGCAGAAGACATAAGGGAGGCTAAGTGGGTAACAGCCTGGCATCAGGGTCACTGTGGGCAACAGCCAGCTCTAAGGGAATCCTGTGGTTACGTAGAGACTCCATGTCCTGGTGTGATGAGCAGGATCAGAGTGACTCTGGGAGGACAGGGATGGGGACCCAGAGTTAGCAATGGGGGTGGAGCAGTAGAAGGAATCACTGTTCTCCTAGGAGTCTGAAGGCCTCGCTGCTTTCTGTGATGGCTTTGCTGTAAGTGCTGCCTGGCCTGCATGCATTGGCTAAGAGGCTGCAGAGTGGCAGGAAGGACTCGCTAGAGATTGTCATGGCCAGAGGTCATAGGTCACTTCGGGTAGCAAGACCCCTGGCAAACTAGGCACTTGGCCTATGTACTGATTTGTGGGGTGGTGGCAGGGGCATGGGATCCTCCACCCTGCCTGAATCCTCTTTGGCTTCTATGCTCTGTACACTGCTGTCCCCAAGAGCTCGCTCTTATTATGGCAGGCGGTGGGGATTGGTCCTGCTTTCTTTCTCTGGAAAGGAAAGCCTCCAAGACCCTATGTGCTTGGGCAGCTTGAGAAGGCGTTCAGCATCACGCCTAGCAGGCAGGCCTTAAAGCTTCACCTTTGGTCTATCCTGCAGAGGTGTTCAGTTACTGGCACAGGGGACTAGGGGTATGTAGAGTATATGAGGAGGCAGTATGGCTGTGCAGGAGCCTTCATTTCAGCTTCAATTAATAAAGAAAATTTTATGATAGCTCTATAGATGCTGAAAAGATATTTGGTAAGATTTAAAATCCATCCCTTATTAAAACTCTTAGTAAATTAAGTCTGGAAAGAAACACCCTAATCTAGATAAAGGTCTGTTTCAGAAACCAACAGTTACTGGCATTCTGAAGAGTCAAACGCCACAGGCATTCCCATTAAAGTCAGAAACTAGCCAAGGGCATGCTATTATTCAGCAGTGTCCCGGCCCTACTAACCCCTGCAACAAGCCAAATGAGGAAAATAAGGAAGAATTATAATTGTCATTATTTGTAGACAATAAAACTGCCTACCTGTAAAACCTAAGAATCAACTGAAGACCTGTTAAGAGTATTCTGTAAGTCGACCCAATGATACACATCATGTTCCTGTCCACATACTGGTTTTCCCCACATCAGCTGATAAATTCAGTGTAATTCCAATGAGGTTGGTACTTTGGAATTTGACAGTTCTAAAGTGCATTTGGGAGAGTGAATGTGTGAGAACACTAAGACTACTCTGAATGATAATGAGTGGGGGGTAGACTGCTGAGGGGGAAAAGGCACACATCCTGCCAGGTTCCCAGAGAACTCTCATGCCACCATTACCTCAGGTGTGACTTGGAGGGGGTCAGACAGACAGGAGAGTCCAGAAACAGACCCAGGGCTACAGGAATTTAGTATATGGTAAGAGGGATGTTTTAAGTGGGCAAAAAGGTGGATTATTTAATAAACAGTACTTTGAGACAACTAGCTGTCAAAGCTAGATCTCGGCCAGGTGCGATGGCTCACGCCTGTAATGCCAGCACTTCGGGAGGCCAAGGCAGGTGGATTACTTGAGGTCAGGAGTTTGACCTGCCTGGCCAACATGGCGAAACCCCGTATCTACTAAAAATACAAAAATTAGCCAGGCATGGTGGCATGTGTCTGTAATCTCGGCTACTCGGGAGGCTGAGGCAGGAGAATCACATGAACCTGGGAGGCAGAGGTTGCAGTGAGCTTAGATCGCACCACTGCACTCCAGCCTGGGCGACAGAACAAGGCTCCATCTAAAAAAAAAAAACCACAAAGTAAGTTAGGTCTCTACCTCACAGTGTCCATACAAATTAGTTCCAGAGGGAAGATACACTTAATTACAGATATACTTAAGTAATATACAAAATTACTCAAAAAATTTTATACCTCTGGTGTGGGACAGTCTTTTCTAAACTTTAACATGAGACTTAAAAGATATAATAAGGGAAAAGATAAGCAGATTTTGCACCAAAAAATATCAAAAGTCTCTGTGTGATGGAAAACATCAAGGTTAAAACACAAATGACAGATATGGAAGAAAATATTTGCAGCACATAGAAAAATCGAGTACAATTACTTTAGGAGAAAAGCTTGCTTCAGGGTCCTTAGAGAAAGTCACTGGGGACTGCCAAGCAGCCACCTAAAGGCAAGAGCGACAGGGCTGAGTTCTTCCAGGTCATCAGAGTTGTTGCTGCCCCTATTAGGCCACACAGTGGAACCCTGTTTATATCATAGCAGAAGAAATAGGATTATCAATGTGAACTGCTTAGCATGGTGCCTGGTATATACAAGAGCTCCACAAATGTGAGCTATAATCCTATTAGTAAAGGATGCTAAGCAGTTCTACTGTGGCAGGTGTCATTTGCTAGTAGAATTTGTAATCAAACAGGAGGGGAATCTATGAACACCTAGAAAATTAGCAGAATAAAGGATATTATCTTTGGAGGCTTTAGATGTGCAATGAAATTATTTGTCTGACAGAAACGAGTGCTTAATTCTATTTACTAGCCTTTAAAATGACTGAAGGCAGGCCAGGTGTGGTAGCTCACGACCGTAATCCCAGCACCTTGGGAGGCCGAGGTGGGTGAATCACCTGAGCTCAGGAGTTGGAGACCAGCCTGAACAACATGGCAAAACCCCATCTCTACCAAAAAAATACAAAAATTAGCCAGGTATAGTGGTGTGTGCCTGTAATCCCAGCTACTCGGTAGTCTGAGGCAGGAGAATTGCTTGAACCCGGGAGGCAGAGGTTGCAGTGAGCCAAGATCGCACCATTGCACTCCAGCCTGGGTGACAGAGCAAGACTCTGTTTAAAAAAAAAAAAAAAAACAAAAAAACAAAAAACTTAAGGCAGTATGGCTCAAGGTGTGATTCAGAATCACCAGAATTGCTGTTGAAAGTACAGATTTCTGGTCTGACTAGAGCTTCTCCTTCAGCCTGGAGGCTGCAATGCAGATGTGTAGGGCAGACCCACAGCTGCCCTGAGACTGCCATGTAACAGAAGCAAGAAACAAAAGCTGACTTCAGTGCACAGGGGGATAAAGGCAGATTCCCGGGTACAACCTTTGAACTGGTCTCTGGGAGTAGAGGCCAAAGAATTTGCATTTTCAACAAGCTCCCAGGTGATTCCTGTGCGTGCATAATTTGGAAATGGCCCAACTTTTAAAGCAAGCAGCAACCCTTTACCACAGAGCTGTGGCACTGAGACTTCACAGTTCTTTTTTTTTTTTTTTTTTTTTTTGAGACAGTCTTGCTTTGTTGACCAGAATGGAGTGCAATGGCACAATCTTGGCTCATTGCAACCTCTGCCTCCTGGGTTCAAGCAATTCTCATGCCTCAGCCTTCCAAGTAGCTGGGACTATAGACATGCACCACCACACCTGGCTAATTTTTGTATTTTTAGTAGAGACGGGTTTTCACCATGTTGGCCAGGCTGGTCTTGAACTCGTGACCTCAAGTGATCCACCTGCCTCAGCCTCCCAAAGTGTTGGGATTACAGGTGTGAGCCACTGCGCCCGGACAGCCTCAGTTCTGAGGGTTACCATCAGAATGAACCAAGACATGACAGAAGCCATTTCAACCACTGGAGATGGATCGGATTCTATTCCTACATTTACTTGGAACCGTCCAGCTTTCATGAAGAAGGAAGGGCTATAGGGCCAGTTGGAACCACAGAGAGAAAGGCTCCAGTTGAACCATTAAGAGCTGGTCCTCTCATGTAGGGTGAGCCAACCCAGACGGTGTCCTCATATGGCTTGCCTTGGGGTAGGTAAAACATAAAACTTTGAACAATTGTGCAGGGAGAGCAGCATCTTTAATTTGACCTGAACCTGACTTGCTTACCTTGCTCTGTCACTGTGGTTAGTAATGAGGCATCTGTGCACTCACAGAGGGGGAAAATCAGTCTAGGATGGTGGGAATGAGGCTTACCATCCACAATAGAGATCTCTGAACAAAATCTTTGTTCTTCCCTAACAAAAAAGTGTGTGAAGGACAAACACTTCAAGGGGTCATTCTCATTTTCATAGTGAGAAGAGATAAGATACCAGATCCTTCACAATGACCCTCAATTTTACTTAGGGTCAGTGAGAAATCAATTCAGATGGTAACAGTCACCAGGACGAACTGGGTCTGCAATCTCCCTTCATTTTGGCTCCTGACTTTGGATCTCCCTAGTTGAGAATAAACCTGAACTAAAAATCCATGTAGTTTGGTAGTCTGGGCACAGGAAACCAAAGTGGTGTTGGAGATGCGGACTCTCCGGCATTCGGAATGTGACAGGGTTGAGTGTGGAGACCTGGAGAAGGCCCCTCAGTGGAGGAGGAAGCACTGGTGTTTCCCAATCAGCATGCCTCCTGTGAGTTTGAATATTTGTGTCCCTCTCAAATTCATACTGAAACTTAACCTCCAATGCAGCATATTAAGAGGTGGGGCCTTTAGAAGGTGATTAGGTCATGAGAGCTTCTCCCTCGTGAATAGGATTAAGCCCCTAGTGAAAGAGGCTTCACACAACCTGGCTTTTTTACCGTGTGAGGATGCAGTAACAAGGCACCACCTTGGAAGAAGAAAGCAGCCCTTGCTAGACACTGAACCTGCCAGCACCTTCATCTTGGACTTCCTACCTCTAGAACTGTGAGAAAATGAATTTCTGTTCTTTATAAATTACCCAGTCTCAGGTATTTTGTCATAACAGCACAGACTAAGATACCCAGAGACTTGCATTCCAACTAGAGGCACAAGCACACCTATAATTCTGCCCTCTCAACTCCCAATGCCAAAAATTGCTAAACAAATATTAAAAATGTAAAAACAGGCCAGGCGCGGTGGCTCACGACTGTAATCCCAGCACTTTGGGAGGCCAAGGCAGGCACATCACCTGAGGTCAGGAGTTTCATTCAGACCAGCCGGACCAACATGGCAAAATCCTGTCTCTACTAAAAATACAAAAATTAGCCAGGTGGGGTGGTGGGCACCTGTATACCCAGTTACTCGGGAGGCTGAGGCAGGAGAATCGGTTGAACCCAGGAGGCAGAGGTTGCAGTGAGCTGAGATCTAGCCATTGCACTCCAGCCTGGGCAACAGAGCAAGACTCCGTCTCAAAAAAAAAAAAAAAAAAAAAAGCAAAAACAGTCAAACTCAAAGGAAATCTTCTTTGATAAAGAATGGAGAGAATAATGCAGCCATTAGCAGAGGCTGAGGCTATGCAGCTTGAGAGAAGTAGAGACTAGTTCAGGATGGTAGGTGCTGGGACTTCAAAGTCCACATGGGACAGGTAACCAAGTGTAACGTCAGGGGATCAGAACCATACTCTGAGAGGAACACAGACAGGAAAAATGTAAGCTGTAAACACAAACAGGATGACATGCAAGCAACCTAAAATAATACTTTAAAATATCTATATGTGCAATCACCAAAGAGCTAAAGGAAGATAGTCTTGCAATGAGAAAATGACTGAAAAGCAAATAAGATTTTACAAATTATACATGCTGGAAATGTGAAAATACAATTATTGAAATATGCTTTATGGGATAAACCCTAGACTGGAAGCAGATGACATGAAAATTTAGCAGGTCTGGAAAACAACTGAGGAATCACCCAGAATGCACCACAGAGATAAAATAAATATAAAAAAGAAGCTAAGATGGAGGATAGGCTGAGAAGCTCTGGCATAATGTTTCATAGCAGTTTTAGAAAAAAAGACTAGTGAGAATACAGGGAAGAGAAAACAAAGATGGTGAATTTTTCAGAACTGAAGAATGATATGAGATCTCAGAATCAAAGAGCTCATTAAGTTCCAAGAAAGGTACATTTAAAAAAACGGGCCAGGTGCAGTGGCTCACGTCTATAATCCCAGCACTTTGGGAGGCCAAGGTGGGCAGATCACTTGAGGTCAGGAGATTGAGACTAGCCTGGCCAACATGGTGAAACCCTGTCTCTACTAAAAATACAAAACAAAAAACAAAACAAAACAAAAAATGTAGCTGGGCATGCTGGCACACACCTATAGCCTGTAATTCCAGCTACTTGGAAGGCTGAGGCA